AGTTCCAAGCCATTCCCCTTGGCCTGTCCCTCCATCCCTTGTCCAAATTCCCTCTCCAGGTCTCCTGGAGCCCCTTTAGGCACTGGAGCTGCTCTGAGGTGTCCCCTTCAGGAGCCTTCTCTTCTCCAGGCTGCTTAACTGCAACAGAATTAGGATGAACTTTTGAGCCTGACCTGGTGACAAGAGGACTCTCTCAGTAAGGGCTTCACCAACCCCTGCCCAAGGTCCGACCCTGCCCAACTCACAGTGCTTGGTGTGCAAAGGTGAGTTGTAGCTGCAGTTTAACCACCTCCATTTCAGTTGAAAACCCAAACAAGTAGATCAATACAACTCTGGGAAAGCTGCAGAAACTCCATTTTTGTATTAGTTTTCAAAGCTCTGAAGAAACAAGTTTCCAGGCTCTTTGCCCAGAGCTCTTTCCTTCTTGTGGACGCAGCCCGTCTCTCCAGTGCTGCAGATGGGGCTGCTCTTGGCCCCCTGCACACTCCCCTGTAAGCACCCCAAGATGCCAGCAGAGCCCCTGCTCCTGCCCGGCTCCAGCAGGCACCAAGCAGGCTGGTGGCAGTGCAGAGGGACAGCCACCCCCCGCTCCCCGGGGTCACAGCCCGGCCAGCGGTGCCCACAGTTCCCCATGGGCCCAGACCCCTGCGGCCGGAGCACAGCCCCCAGGGGAGCCCTGCGGCCCATACTCATCTCCTTCCGCAGCTGAGGCTACAGCTCGCTAAGCAGATCCCGTTACTGGCAGTTAGAAATAGCACAGCGGATGGCCCGTGGCACCGGGCCTGGAATGGGTCTGGGAGCAGAGAGGCAGAGGGGAGCAGATGGCACGGGCAGGAACAGCACCACAGCCCTGATCTGCGTGTCTCCAAACGCAGCCGCAGCAGTCACAAGGCAAAGGTACAAGTGCTTTTGGAACAGGCAGATCTCGACACCCCGCACAGGGGCACCCAAACATGCAGTGCAGGCTATTTCAGACTTGTTCTCCTGCTTTGCATTAGCGTGCAGAGACGCTGACTCCCAGTGTTTGAAGGAAGAGTGAGAAACAGTAATTAAGTTGGATGCTTGGTTTGAGTTGACTGAACCATCCAGAAACCAGGCCAAGAAACATCTGAAGCATCCATCTTCAGGCTGAAACGCTCCACATGAACAGGAAGGTGTTTGTAAAAACTGAGCTACCACAGCAAACACACCACTGTAAAGCCCAACACCGTTTGTGCCCCTGGTAGAGCAGAAGAGAAGAGGTAAAAGGAAAAAGCAGAGTGATTTATGTTGCTTCATAAGCTGCTGGCAAGCAGCACTGGCTACATGCACATACAGAGCCCTGAACGACTTTGGAGGTGAAGTCATAACCCAGCGTTCCAAATTTCACGTTAGAGCTTACTATATATAGCAAGTATGCAATAAGCTTTGGGTTTACTGTACATAGTAGCAGTGTGCTTTTTGTGATGAAAGCCTAAAGGAACTGGTACAGAGGCTCTATCAAGCTATAAGCAGCAAAATTAAAACCTTCCAATGGTTCCACAGCTTGCGAGTAGAAGGGATAAAGAAAGGGAGGAAGAATAAAGGATTTTCCAGGCTGCAAAAGCAAATGCATGCACAGATTGCAGGCTTGCTTCATGCAGGGAGGCGCACGAGAATCTACAAGCAGATTTGACAGAAAGTGTTAGTGCACGACGGGGCTGTGGCAGGGAGACGTGGTGAGGAGCCACACAGGGATCACGGAACACAACCAGAGACCCAGCCTTGCGGTGCTGCAGGGTTTGCTCAGCCCGCTGAGCGCCTCATCCCTGCCCAGACCAGCACCCTCAGCAGCGCGCAGCACCGGCAGCATGCAGCTCTCAGCATCACACGTGAGCTCAGGCTACAGGCGGCAGCAGAGAATGCGCAGGGGGCATTCTGGTCCTGGCACTGCTCTAACCAGTCCATCTGAGTTCCAGGCCACTGCTCTGCCTGCTGCTCCTCCAGCGGCCGTGTTTTACCAGTCACTCAATGACAGGGTTTTAATAAAGCATTTTCTGTGCAAAAAACTATAAGGACAAACTATTAAAACCATACAATGGGTTACAGCAGCCATGTGCATGCCTGCTCTGAGAAACCACATTAACAGGTACAAGGCCTCAAAGCTTCTAGACATGTAGCCCAAGTGACACAATGCTCCTGGGACCCGGGAATTGCAAGCATTAGTGAAAACTGAAGCTGCATCCTTCAGGAAAGAACAGCTGATAAGCAACTGAAGGGAACATTTCAGTTCTACTTAGGGAAATTCAATCCTCCTGAATGGAGAGAATTCGGTACTGGGCAGGTCTCTGAAACAGCGAGTTGATGTGCAACTGATGTACCAGAACACTGGACATGCTGGTCTTACCAGGAACCCATGTACCTGTGGCACATGCAACACAGGAAGTTGTTTTGTTCTGCTCTTCTAGTTCTGAACAACCGCAGTTGTTTCTCCAACTACCACGTCACCTCCAGCCAGACAGCCTGGTGGCAGCTCCCCTCAGACACTCGTAAAGCAGAACATCATCTCTGGAAAGCCAGCTGAAGGAGGCCACTGAAATGGTGTCATGTGTTAAATGTGCCTATGTACCCATAGAGACAGCAGAGGTTTGGCTGAAGAGTACGTAGGGAAGGAAGAGTCTGGTCTAATCCAGGCCATCCCAGCATTTTCTTCTTGTCATTCTCAACGTGTTCTTCTTTCCCCCACTTTACAAACCTGCTCCACCCCTTCTCTGTACCCATAGCTCAGATACCCACTGTGCCAGGTCTCCTCCAGAGCAGTTGCTGCTTCTCCTTCTTGAGGTCCTGCCCTATGGCCTTCCACCCTGCGTCTCGTGCCCAGCTCTCACCATCAGCAGCACATCTGCACTGGTCCTACTGGTAAGAACAGGCAGTGTTGTCCTTAGGCTAATGTGTCACTGGGCAAACATCCTCCCATTTCAACTTCAGGTCTGGACTCTGAGCTCCTCTTGGCCTTTCCTGCTCCACATGGACTGATTGGCATGGCCAATCTGACTGCTCTGGAGCACGAGCTGCTGCTCCCCCCTGCCCCTGTTCTCCGCAGAGGCCACCAGATGTGGCACACCAGCCCAGCAGAGCTCAGGACAGCAGAGTGCCATCAGTAACAGCGACAGTGACCTCTCTGCTTCCCACACTGCAGGTACAAACACAGCCAAGACAGTTCAGGAGAAGGATGGGGCTTTGCTGCTCCTTTAAATAGAGCACTGTTCATACAGGAGTGATAGATTTTGACCATGATTCTCCCACTGGCAAGGACAGCACATTCTGGGCATCAGGTTTATTTATACTCTGGATCTAGCTAATAGGAATTTGGGTGCAATCCAAATGCTCTTGATATAATGAAGTCTTTAGCCAGAGTTAAGCTGCGCTCTAAGGGGCAAGATTAAGGATGAAGTTTAAATGCTGCTTCTGCAGTTACATTTTTACTTGCTCGAGTGTCCAGCTTTGCAGACACCCTGAGCACACAGGATGAACATATCACACTTCTAACCAGGCTTGCTGAGGTGGAGCAGTAACTCAAGCAAGGCAAGCCCTTCATCACACTCAAGCAAGTGGTGAAGTCCCATGACAGAAGGTACAAAAAAAGTCCTTTTCCCCTCCAGGATTACATGAGCACTGACCATGACAGTCCCACTGCTTAAAGAACAGTCTACAACAGGAGTAGTGCTGGCTTGGGTACACGCAGCCCTTCAAGCATGAAAAAGAACAGAAAAATTTAGGGGACAACATAATGAACCCCCTACATAAAAAGCAAGAGCTTTGAGAACAAGACTCCTCCTAATGATTAGTTATGGTTTATAACTAATCCTCCCCTAAAACTCCCCTCATTTAGCAGTATCACAGACGAGGTCTTGTCCAGACAGTGCTGGCTGGAAGGTTGTGAAATGAATCCAGATCTGATTCAAGCTGCTGGATTTCCTGCGTGGAGTCCGAGGACAGTGCAGTAGAGGCAGCACCGGCTGAGTCTCCAGATGGTGCTTCTATTCCCACTCACACCACATCCTGTGTGTTTAGGTACCAAATTTTCACCCTGGGCAAAGTTTTGACTGTTTGATGAGAGGGAGTCCCATCCCCCTCCATGCGTGCAGCAAACGTGGAGGCATTACAAAGAATCAGCTCCCACGTCTGCGTGTCCTTAAACGAAGAGGTGAAGCCCAGAAGGATTTAATTTGATGATCCAGGCCATTCCCCAGCAACGCAGCAACACTTCAGGCACAAAACCTCAAGTGCTCTGAGAAATACTGAGTAACTGTTCCTAGTTAAGGACAGGTTCTGGTATAACCATTTTGAAGAGCCATAAAGAAAGTGTCTTCATAAGAAATCTGCATTACAGAATCATGTAAAGTTTTGTGTTGAAGGGACCTTAAAGCTCACGCAGTTCCAGCCCCCCATCACGGGCAGGGACACCTTCCACTAGAGCAGGTTGCTCCAAGCCCCTGTGTCCAACCTGGCCTTGAACACTGCCAGGGATGGGGCAGCCACAGCTTCTCTGGGCACCCTGTGCCAGCGCCTCAGCACCCTCACGGGGAAGAGCTTCTGTCTAACCTGAACTTCCTCTGTTTCAGTTTACACCCATCACCCCTTGTTCTATCGCTACATATTGTCATATTGGAGGGTCAGAGAAACTACAGTGGAGCAAAGGGCCTCCAACGGCCCTCAACTGCTATGGGTAACTGGTGGCCACCAGTACCTAGGGATGATAAATGTAATCTCGGTTCCAAGAAGAGCTGTAGTTCTTTGAACCAAAAGATACTTCAAAGAAATCTAAAGTCTAGCATCTCTTTGCCCTCCAGGCACACAGGATTAGTTCTGATGTGTACAAAATACCCTCAATACCTGCCACATCCCAACTGTAAATGGCACTGATACATCACTACAGCTTTACTAGCTCTTTGATGCTTGCTTCCTCACGTGTCAACTGCTTTGTATGACCTCTGGGTTCCAATTCCCATGGTTCCCCCCAAAGGTTTGGAACTAAAGCTTCTTACCCCTCTGAAATCACCAGCACCAACCAACAGCCGGGCATTTAACAACTGTCAGCCTCGGGGTTTATGGAAAAGCAAATGCAAACAAACAGTGGAATGTAGATTAAAACAGGAGGAGGTTTTCCATGGGGAGCATTAGCGCAGAAGCACTCACCTGATACTGGAGGCAAAGTTATGTCTCAAACTGTGTTAAGAGATCTCTGATTTCTGGAGTCAGATGCTCCACTGCCTTGGCAGCCTCCGTGATAGCTTTCCGATACATCCCTTTCTTCTTGCGGTTAAACCTCAGTTTGAAAAACTCCGAGAAAGGAGAGAGTTTTGAGACAGATAAGAACGAAGTCGTTGGGGAACCAAACCACGACACTTTAGCTTCTCGCCAGGAAGGCTCCCCGTTCTCCTTCTGGCTGAGGTTTATGTCAAGAACACGCGCTGGCCACCACGGAAACCCATGAATCTTACCCCAAACTATATCCCCCACCGAAACAGTTCTTCCATCCTCTGTGACGCACCTGGACACGCTCTGGGTGTGCAGCCGGACCGTCAGCGGCGGCACCATTTTACGCTCATCTTTTGAAGATGAGGAGACGGACGCATCATCACCAGGCAGAAAGTCACACATCTCTGGCGATGTTACCTCTGAACTGGAAGACTTGGACTCATCCAGACTGTCATTACTACATACTGATAAGCTAGAAGAGTCTGCTTTTCTTTTACGATAATTCATAAGGAAAGCCAAGTTATCGTGTCCATCTTTCCCTTGGGGAAACCTTTTAAAGTCCTCATCTTCACCTGAACTCCCTGAAGACACCTCAGCTAAACTTCTGTCTGTGGATTCGTCATTGTAGAAGGCTCCAGGGTTGGAGTCCCTGCTGTTCTGAAGGACATTGATTTCATCGATAAGTTCTGCCTTGTAGATTGAAACACTCTGACCATCATTGATGCGATGGGGCTTGAGCCGGATCTTTGGGGGTGGGACATCTGCGCTGGAATGCACTGGCCTCGTGAGCTTCAGCTTTGGAATGGAAGCAAGCTGGCTGCCTGCTGACTTGTCCAGGAAACATTTGGTTTCTCGACACCGTTCGGAGTCCCTGGTCTCCTCTTGGTCCTCCCCTCCGTTCTGCACCATTCGCTCTGCACAGAAGGGTTTCACCGAGCCGTGCACCCGGGAAGGGATTTTGACAACCTCGCCCTTCCCCTGTGGAGTGCTGTAGGATATTTTGATGACGGGCGTTCGATGCACGAGCTCCCCAGAGAACTTGTCATCCTCTCTCTTCTCCCTCTTGTTCCTTTTCTCCATGTAGTCGGCGTCACCGTGCTTCTTCTGCTCCTTGTCCTGGATGCTCAGCTTCCTCCTGGTTTTCACGGTCTG